TGATCCAAGTTCCATCACTTGAAGAGTTTCCTGCAAAAGATTCATAATGTTTACATTATATATTGAGAAGCAAGCATTAGAAGAAGAACCTCAAATCCAAAGTAATCCTATATAAACTGAAATTCATAAAGAGAGATGTTCTACGAAAATGGTGGGTCTGCAGCAGAATCTATTGTAATATATAGTAGGAAAATAAAGAGGAGGGAGAGAATGGTATGGACATGGTTGACCATGAAGCAGTACGGACGAGGAGGTGTTCGGATGGAGGTTGACCATAGAGAAAGTGGCGCCTGCAAAACTGTAGATCAAAAATCACTACAGACCTCAGACGAAGAACATTCAGGAGAGGAACGAGAGGTAGAAATCGACTCTAGTTCCGTCTTAATTTCTTTCCTCTTTCACCTTAGAGAGATTTGAGGTTACGGTTTCAGAGCGGAGGATTGATAAAAGATTTGAGGTTTGGAGAGTTGAGGCTACGAAGGTTTGATCAAAGAAGAAAAAGAAGAAGATAATAGAATTGAGGCTGAGGGGTTGTTCGCAGAATTTATTGGTGGTTGTTGGCAGAGATTTAATCAAAGAAGATGAAGATATAGATTATATTAGATATTTTTGGATTTAAAGAGACGATGTAGTTGACATTTAAAATTAGATCCGCTTCTTCTGGCTTGTTACAACCTTTTCCAACCCCTTAGACTATTTGGACATATATCTCTATGGACTTTATTGATGGTCTTCGCGTATCTTTTGGTAGATCTTTCATCTTTCTGGTCGTGATCTGATATATCATGGTTTTTATGGTTTTTAACCATGATATATGTCCTTTTTATTGTGTCTGGTCTTTTTAGAGTCCTAGTAGAGTCTTTACAGGTTATAGCATGATTGGAGCACAACTGGAGGTTTTGGAGCATTTTGGATCAAAGCAAGAATCCTTCCCGAATGAAGCAACTCAAAAGGCGTTACTCTGCACTGATGACGATCATCACCAACCAAGGGTGACGCTAGTCACCCATATATGAGGAAGGGTCTCGTGGTTTTATTAAGAGATGGAGAAAAATTGCACTTTTAGCCCAGAAAATCTACTATTTGCAAGAAGGCCCCATTCGTGTTTTAGCTTGTATATTAGATTTTTCAGCCATTCTTTGGCTGGTATCTTGTATCTAATTTTCTAGAGAGCTTTTGAGAGAGATTTATTCAGAGCTTTGAGGGAGACAAATCATGTACTCTTTTAGAGAAGATTTTGAACCCTTGTGTCTCTCTTCTTATCTTTTTAATGCAGTTTATTTCAGTTATGATTTGTGTCATCATCTCCGTGTCTGAGTAATCTGCCAGTTAGGTTAGGATGATTTAAATATTGATGAAGAGTTTGTAGAATTGCTAATTACTAGGGAAATCCATTGGTTCTTCATGTATACTTGCATTCATATCAATTTGTAGAACTGATCATCTTGAAAATCAAACCCTAGTTTGTTTAATAGATGTGAGAACATTGTTAATCACCTGAACTAGTATTAGATGAGCAAAACTACTATTTGCAAAGAGATTTGGCTTAGAAGTTTTGTGAGCAATTGAAACCTGATCATTAATGCTTGCTTAATTTGTTAGAATTTGCAAAGAGATTTGAAATTCTGTGATTTAGACATAGATAACTTCTGCAATGAGAACTGATTAGTTATATCATTGTGTTTCAAGTTCTAGACGGTTTTAATCAATCCCTGATTTCATGCATTCTACATTCTCGGATTCAACCTGCGAATTATCCTAGCTTAGCGTACTTAGCTTTCTGAAATTAGATCAATCAACAAAATCGCTTATTTTCAATTATTTTGTTGTTTCGCATTACATTCACTCATTACTTCTTAGCTTAATCTGAATCTATATTCTATAGTGTAGTAGTTTACTCCTTGGGATTCGATAACTCTTTGTGCTACAACTGCATTGTTGTGCACTTGCAGTAGTAATATAAATGGGTAAAACTTAGACCCTATCATGATCACTTGACAAAAGCCGCTTATTTCATAGCTTTATGCCATCCTTACACGGCTGCCAATGTGGCTCATGCATTTCTGGATCACGTTTTTTAACTCCATGGTTTTCCTGGTTCAATTGTAAGCGATAGATATGTTATATCTCGAGTGAATTTTGGAGAGAGTTGTTCACATTACAAGGCACTGCCCTTAACTACTCTAGTGCTTATTATCCCCAGAGCGACGGTCAAACAGAGGTATTTAATCACTATTTCGAAACTTACTTACAAGTGTATGTGCAGTGATAGTCCCTACTTATGGAGTCGATGGTTACTCTTGGTGGAATTTTGGTACAATACCAACTTCCATTCGGCTGCACAGATGAGTCCTTATGAGGCATTTTATGGTCAGCCTCCTCCTCAACATCTTCTGTATTTACTTGGTGGAAGTAAGGTATTAGTTGTGGTAAAGAGCTTGGATGAAAGGGAGAAGATGTTACTTATCTTGAAGTTTCATTAGCTACGAGCTCAGCATCGAATGAAGCAATCAGCTAATCGCAGACGTTCTGACAAAATCTTTGAAATTGGTGATTTTGGCTATGTGAAAGTTTAACCTTATCAATCAGACTTTGTAGTAATTTGTGTAAATCAAAAGCTGAATCATAAGTATTATGGACCTTACAGGATGTTGGATAAATGCGGGAAAAGTGGCTTACTTATTAAAGTTGCTTACAACAAGTTGCATTCATCTTGTCTGTTTCTCCGCTAAAACTCAGAGCTGGTGATCTCTCGATAAGCACTAATTTGCCATCTATTGTATCGGATGTGATGAGTAAGGAACCAAATTGTGTTTTGGAACGTAGAATGGTTAATAGGCATGGTAAACCTGCAACTAAAATGCTAGTGAAGTGGTCTAATGAGGATAAAAGTGAAGCTATGTGGGAGTTTCTCTTTAATTTGTTGTAGAGTATTCTTTGTTCAACCATGAAGACTTGGTTGTTTAAAAAAAAAAGATTTAATATAGTATAATTGAAGTAGAAATGGATATGTAGAGGGTCAGAATTTAAAGAATAAAAGAACGGCTGGGATAAAGAGATGGAAATAAGCCAAAAATGTTTAAAGAGTAGAAAAGAAAGAAAACAAATTTGATCAAAAAATTATTGTAACAAACTTCTTGTTTTTCATCTTAATTATCTCTCTAAACTCTTAATAATCGATTTCTTTGATTAAGATTTTTTAAAAGAGTACTGAAACTTTTTATTTTCCGAACATTGAATTTAATTTAAAATATCAATTTGAATTGCATTTTATGTTACATATATCAATATGTAAGTACGATAAACCTTTTTCTCAGCTTTTTTTTTCTATGTTTTTTTTTAAATAATTTTATGAGTTGTCTATGAAATAGTTGATTGTTAACCAAATATTTTTTAGTTGAATTGTATTTACCATGGTAATCAAAAGATCATCTCATTTGGTTTTTATGGATCAGTTTAGATTTTCCCTGAAAAATCATATTACTCTAAAGATTATGAATTCATGTTTTAAGAGAAGAAAAGAAAGAAAACAAATTTGATCAAAAAATGATTGTAACAAACTTCTTCTTTTTCATCTTAATTCTCTCTCTAAACTTTTAAAAATCGATTTCTTTGATTAAGATTTTTCAAAAGAGTATTGAAACTTTTTATTTTCCGAATATTGAATTCAATTTAAAATATCATTTTGAATTACATTTTATGTTACATATTATGTATATCAATATGTAAGTAGGATAAACCATTTTCTCAGCTTTTTTTTCAATGTTTTTTTAATAATTTTGTGAGTTGTCTATGAAATAGTTGATTGTTAACCAAATATTTTTTAGTTGAATTGTATTTACCATGTTAACTAGGTGTTTCCCCGCACTTTGTACGGAGTTCGATTAAAACTTTTAAAAAGTAGTATAACATTAGTTTATTTATAGATAACAAAAATCAGATTTTATAATTATTTGAAACCAAACTTAATATATTTGAAAAATACAATTTTCATGAGTATATTGTTTTTTTTTGACAAAACAAAATATATTATTTATATCTTATTTCTAATATCTTTTTATATTATCCGATAAAAACTTATATGTATGCTTTGCTGTTTTGTTGCATTTATCAAACATGATAAATAATTTTCTTCTTTTGATGTAAATTGGTAGATTAAGATTAGTGAAGTTTAAAATTTTCATAAAAAAAAAATATAGCAATCCAAAATAACCAAAACCAAAAGATCTTTGTTTTATATCAACTTAACATTAATTAATATATATAGAGTTTTAAAAAGGTTTAAATGATTTACGGTTTTACCTGTGGTCGCATAAATCAATTAAGTTAGTCGAAAATATTTGTAGGTTAAACAATTAAATTAAAATTAGTTTAGTAAAATAATTAGAATTTTTTATTTATTTATGCTAGTTATCTTTTTTAGTAAACTGAATTTTTTATGATATAAAATTGAATTTAGAAATCCAGATTTAAAAAAAAATAAAAATTAATTAAAAATTAGATTATATTAATTTGTTAATTTCAGTGAGAGTAATTAAAGTAAATTTATATAAAGGGCAAAAGATAATCAACCATCATAATTTTCAACCACAGCCCAACTTGTTTCTCAATTAATAATATGATGATGGAAAGATCATCTCATTTGGTTTTTATGGATCAGTTTAGATTTTCCCGAAAAATCATATTACTCTAAAAAATTATGAATTCATGATTAAGATGATCGTGATCACTGTTACGCTCACGCATGGCATTATTGTAAAAACATGAAACCACGAGGGCATTCTTAGATAGACGGCGATTTTTTATTTTCCGGCAACTTCGAGAGCATTAAGCGTAAAGCAAAAACTTGGCGAGAGGGGGGTGAGAAGGAAGGTTAAGAATCGGAAACTGAGAAAAATCGAAGTAGAAATAAGGATCTGGTCTCTTGGAGAGTGTGAGTATATACATCGGCGCTGCGATTTGAAACTGGAACCTGGTTTTTTCCCGGTGAAATTTAGTAGACAATGGAGGAAATAAGATCGGCGATGGAGCAGCAAATGGATCTCATGGCGGATCTAGTCCAGAAGCTCTCCGGAGAGCTCCGAACTGGATTACAGCCTGCCTACGATAATTTCTTGGGATTTTTCCACGCGATCGATTGGAAGGTAATGAGTCTGTTTGGTTCTCGCGAAACTCGGATGAAACTCGAAATCCTTCGTTATCTCGATTACATACATTGCTGCGAGGAATTAAGAACCCTAAATCTTCCATTTTCGCTGCTCTAAGGTTCACGTTTTATTGTGTGATACTGATGCGGCAATAAATTTTGGATTCGAAATCTATACTCATATCTCCGATGTGGGTTTCTGGTTACTCATTTTAGATTGATGTTTTTTTTGGCAGGAACCTTGGATTATGGGATTAGTGGCGTTTCATGCTCTGTTGCTACTGGTTACTCTTCTTTCTAGAAGGCATCTCAACTTCCATATGTTTTTGTTCTTATTGGCATGTGAGTCCTCTCGTCTCTTTTAGACGTTTCTCTGTGGTTTGGCTTTGTTGTCAAATCAATCTACTAGACGTTCTTAGCGACGTATTTCTTGGAATTGCATTATAAATTTATCTTTGTGGATCTTATTCATCTCTTCTAGGTTGGAAGTTACAGGTCTGTTATGTTAGATTCTCTTTTATATTTGGTTTCTTATGGTTTTCTGTAATTTAGAGTCATGGGTTTTTTTTTTCTTTCACCTCCTTTCCTCTCTTTTGTTATCATTGTTCTGGCTTCGATTCCTGTGATCTCACTAGGCTAGGTTGCAGTATTCATATTGAATCAAGGATCCGGGATCTAGTTTTGATACTTCTGCTAAGTGCTATGTGGTTTTAGATATCTATTCCTTCAGACTAGCTTATGAATCAACAGCATAGGCTTTGTTTTTTGTTACGTGTAAAGATTTATTTGGACATCTCAAGATCATCAATGGTGAGAGAGTGAGACCATCCATATGGAGAAGTGATTTTCGTGGGTCTATGAGTTGGCTAGAATGCTAGAATAGTCTCGGATACTATGGTTGGCGAAAGAAGAATATGAGATTCACTTGGTTATACAAAAGCTGTTTATTTAAATTATGAAGCTAATGACTTGGCATCTCCATACGTAAGACTTTACTGTTTTCTCTTGTGAGTCGTCATTGAGAATAATGATGTTGATCAAAACAAGCGTGATGTCTATGACTAGCATCTCATGTGTGATATTTTACTGCTTTCTCATTGTGAGTATGTTTTCTCTGTACATGTAATTGATAATATGATCATGTGACCAAAACAAAATTGCAGTGGGTGGAGTATACTTTGCAGAGAATCTTAACCGGCTCTTGAAGAAAAACTGGAGGAGCTTCTCAACTCAAGACTACTTTGACCAGCCGGGAGTCTTCGTCTCGACTCTCTGGTCAGGACCACTTCTGGTCATTGCAATGATAATCCTGGTAATGTGTTCGACAATGCCACTCTCTCTCGTCCCCTTTCTTCTCTGGTTTCGAGAATCTGCATGTTTGAGTTTAAGAACAGTGGCATGTGATGGTTTTAAGCATGTTTATAATCCTAACATGGAGAATCTGATGGATGTGTTTGTGTTTTTTTTTTTTTTTGGACAGATAAACACTCTCTTCTCGCTTTGCTACTTAATTGTAAAATGGAAAAGAGCTGAGCTTAGGCATCGTGCAAGGCTTGCTCGTTCCAAGCAGGAGTAGATCCCAACTCTCTCTTATCACATCCCTTTCTCACATTTTTTTTAGTTTTACCAAAAGCTTGTTCTACTATTGTATTTCGCGTTTTAAATTGAACCGTACCAAACCAAGCAAGATTATTCCATTCCGGTTTATTTTGGTCAAGTTTTGAAACCCCGAATTGAAATCAAATCCAAAGTCCTAACCGTGGTATTAAAAATCAACGATTAAGAACTTGAGCGGGTTTTGTAATCTTTTCGTTTTGGTAAGGTTTCGAAAACCTCGAACTGAATCGAAATTCTGCTGAAATCTTAACCGTACGATTAAGGAACTAATTAACAGTAGGTTTTTGTAAATTTGAAATAGTAGTAATACATGATGAAACATTTAGCCGTTACGAGTAAATAGAGGTCGTCGATTTTTGCACTCTTCAACGGCCTCCTCCTTTTCAAAAATCAAAAAGAGATTGGAGAGAGAAAATCTCGAAGAGTACAACAGTTGTAGAAGATCTATAGATTTCGGCTCTCTTAATCATCTTCTTCTTCGTCTTCGTTTTTCGAAATCCTATACTCAGATAATCTCTCTCTTTCGCTCTTAAGACTATTCCATGGAGGTCAAGAAAGAGAAACGGATGGAAGAGGGGCAACGAGTGCTGGGGAAGACGATCCCTGTCTTCACAGTGCTGAAAAACGGCGCGATTCTCAAGAACATATTCGTCGTCAATAGCCGCGATTTTTCGTCGCCGGATAGAAACGGTAACGCCGTGTGCGACGACGGCGAGGTAGAGGAGATCCTGCTCGTCGGTCGGCATCCAGACTGCGATATTCTGCTAACGCACCCTAGCATTAGCAGATACCACCTGCAAATCCGCTCTTTACCTTCTCGTCAGAAACTCTTCGTCACGGATCTGTCCTCTGGTACTAAATCATCTCTTACTCCATTTTCCATTTCTAGGGATTTCTTCGCGAAAATTTGTTGTCATCTGAAATTAGATTGTTTCTAGTGGAATTTCCTCATCGATTTCATAGTTTTCATGTAATTGGATCTATGTGTATGCGTTTCTAGTTGTTTGATTGGATTTCTTCCTTCGATTTAGTTCATGGGACATGGGTTACGGATCAGAAAGTCGAGCCGGATGTTTGTGTTGAGGTGAAGGAAGGTGATGTTATCAGGATCGGTGGTTCAACAAGGATCTATAGACTACACTGGATTCCGCTAAGCCGTGCTTATGATATCGACAACCCGTTTGTTCCACCACTCGACGCGTCTTTAGCGATGGAGCAAGACGAAGAGAATAGAATGCTTGAAGCAGAAGAAAATCTAGATGTTGCAAATCAGGTTCGACCTTCTCTCATATGGTTTCTTGCTTTTAGCATTTGGAACGTGTTTAGCTTATGTAGTGAATCTTTGTTGTTAGTTCAGCTTAGCTCTATACTTGTCTGATGTTATTTGCTAAACCTGAAAGCGTAACCTGCCTTCACTGTAGTTACTAGCGAAGAGTGCATTGGTTGATGACGGAGATGTACATCTGGATGTGACGTCTGAAGGTAGTGGATCATCAGTCCCTAGTGAGGATGAGGATACATATATTACGACAAGGGAGAATTCGTTGCCGCTTGCATCTCCGAGTGTTTTCACAGTAGCTAGAGATTCTGTCGAGACAGATAAGCTACAATTCAATGAAGATTTGCAGACTTTAACAAAGTGGGACTTGTATGTTGATGAAGCCGCAGCAGAGAAGCCAAGTAGCTGCTACGCCCAAAGTAAGCAACAGAGTGATGGTTTAGATGGTTCTGAAATTGAAGTCTCTGCAGAGGCTGATGAATGGGATGTAAGAGGAAATGAAGTTTTGCATCTGAGTGTGATGTCAGAGAGAATGGAGTCATCAGTCTTAAATGAAGATGAGGATCCATATTTAGCTTCAAATGAGAGTTCATCGCTTCCACTCCAAAGAGAATCCATTGAGACAGAAAAACTACAGCTCACAGGAGATGTCCAGGCTTCACCAGAATTGGGCATAAATATTGTAGAAGCCAAAGCAGAAAATAGTGGCTGCACCCCAAGTAAGGGACATATTGATGGCTGCTTTGAAGGCTCAGATTGTACTGCATTTGAATTGGCTGCGGAGGATGAGATTCTGAGCCTCTATCGAGAAGTCTGTGGAGAAACTGAGATTGTCACACAGCGACTAATGGAAGCATCTCCTGAACCAGTAACTAAGGCTGAATTTCGGAGTCACGTAGACAATGGAGAAATTGAGGTCGCGGGGCAACATATTGCAGTATCTCCCAATTCATGTCCTCAAGCTGAGCAACTGTTGGAAAATTTTAATGAAGATGCTCGAGACCTCTTTGGTTCTGAATTCCAGAGTGAAGTGTCCTTAGAAACTGATGGTGAGAACCTACATCAAAAAATCAATGAAGTGAATCCACGAATGAACAGAGAGGCTGAAAAAGTATTTGAGGAACGGAGCAACTCATCAGAAAATCGGAAAACCACAACAGAAACGGCAGTTGGCTCTGACAGATCTGGAGACTCTTACAAACTAAGCGAAATAGGGAGCGAAGGAGTTACTGATACGGAGGTTTCATTTTCTTCAACCTTGGCTGCTGAAACATGTGAGGATACAAAACTGATTGAAGAACTACTTTCTTATTGTACTGAGAGTCAAGAAAATCAGACCCAGCAACCACATGCTGTTAGCGATAATGCACTCTCTGAGATGGAAAAGGCTGCTTCTGTTCCATTACTTGAAGCCTCAGGCTGTTCTGCATTTGAATTGGCTGCAGAGGTTGAGATTCTGAGCCTTCATCAAGAAGTCAGTGAAGAAATTGGGTTTGTCACAGAGAATGTAATGGAAGCATCTGACGAACCACTAGCTAAAGTTGACATCGAGACTCACAAAAACGACGGAGAAACTGAGGTCTTGGGGCAAGTATCTCCCTGTTCCTTCCCTCAAACTGAGCCAACTTTAACTGGAGATGCCCGAGGCCTCTTAGGTTCTGAAGTGGCCATAGAGACTGTTAGTGAGAACCTACATCAAAATAGCGATGAAGAAACGATCAGCCCAAGGCAAGACAGTGAAGTATCTGATTATTCGTTTGCTGGCAACGAACGTCTTTTAGGAATCAATACAGAAGATATCCAAAGTCTATGCTCGAGCTGGCAGCTACTTTCCGAGAGTGAAGTCGATGCTCCATTTGAGATCTCTACTGAAGCAAGAGATGAGAATCAAAACTCAGGAATGTACAAACAGGCTGAAAAAGTATTTGATGAAGGGAGCAGTTCGTACCTTTCTGAGGACTTTGATCATTGTGGAACACAAAGTTTCTTGTTGACACCAACTCAGAAACCCAGAACAGAATTGTCAATTGACTCTGGGAGATCTGGAGAATCTTACAGACAAGGTGAAATAGAGGGTGAAGAAAATACTGATAAGGGGAGTCCCATGGCTGCAGAAACATTTGAGGATACAGAACAGATAGAAGAACTGCCTTCTGATTATACTGAAGGCCAAGAAAACCAGACCCCGGAAACACAGTCTGTTAGAAATGATGTATTATCTGAGCTAGATAGCTCAATAAGCTCCTCGAGAAGATTGAGCACATGCAACATTTGGTCTCGGAGGGGAAAAGCTGCTTCTGTTCTTCAGGTCCGGACCAACAGTAGTAAAGGAAAGCAAAAAAGTATTGGGAGTCAACCAAAAGACCAGTTGCAGAGAAAACAGGCTCTAAGTGCAGAGAAACTGGTACCAGAGATTTTTACTCCTGACAAAGAGAATCTCACCCCAAGTTCTCATATGTTGAAAAGATTACAAGATATTGGTGACATAGAAGATAGCAAGAGCTCTTTAAAGCTTTCCGGAAAACCATGCTCGTCAAGGATGCCTTCCAGTATCGCTGTTTTTACTTCAGGGGCATTCGCAGAACCAGAAATCTTCACCCCAGATAAGGAGAATCTTACCCCAAACTCTCATATGCTAAAGCGTCTGCGAGAAGTTGGTGAGATTAAGGATACTAAAGGATCCTCCTCTAAAGCAACACGTAAACCATTCTTTGACATTCATATGGAAGAAAACGTGATGGAGGAACAGAAACAAGATCTACACAGCATGAGCAGAAAATCAAAGTTGAAGCATGATGAGGCTGTGGCACCGAAGAAGAAAGCTGTACGGGCACCTTTTCAACCTCAACTTGAGAAAGCTTCTTCCCAAACATACACTGAGGCTACTACTGCATCAGCAAGAAACAACATTTCCAGAGGCATTCGTTCTTCATCTGTAAGTTTAAATCAATTCGATTGTCCTGGATTCTTTTGTGTAGCTCTTATATTAACCATTACTTCACTGTGTTCTAGAACCTTTCTGATGGAAAGAACAAGATGAAGTGGACCATTGTGCTGGACACTTCTTCACTCCTCGACAAGGACTCTAGGAAGCCACTGCACTTACTACAAGGTCTCAAGGGGACACATATGGTCGTACCAAGAACAGGTAAAATCCTTAACCCTCTAGCTTTGTTTATTCTATCATACACCAATAATAGTTTCTTGCTTCACTTAAAAGCTCTAAATACAAACCACACAAGGCTGTTAATTCATACGAAATCTTGAAGAATTTCTGTGTGATAGCATACGTTCTAGTTTGATCTTAGGATGCCAAATAAACACATTGCAGATGAAATTGTCAGAACCATTACAGTATATCCTTCTACAATATGCGTCTGTCGCTTACTCTTGGCTTAATCAACCGAATATTTGTTTTTCGATATGATTAATCACTTTTAGAACAATCTTTTACTATCAGAAACATCCTAACCCTTTTTGGTTTTCATTGTGCAGTGTTAAGGGAACTAAATGAGACGAAGCGAACTCGCAGTCTTTTCTTTAGAAGAACAACAGAGATCGCTTCCTCGGCTCTGGATTGGATCGAAGAGTGTAAGGTTAATACCAAATGGTGGATTCAACTCCAAAGCCCATCAGAGGAAACCAAAGCAAATGCACCAACACCACCAGTCACTCCTCAGTCAAATGTCTCAGCTGCATTCCCGTTTTCAGTTCACTGGAATCATAACGCACCAGAGATCGATTCTCCTACATCACAAGATCAAGTTCTCGAATGTGCACTTCTTTATCGAAACCGTAACATCGACGAAAAACTCGTTCTTCTAAGCAACGATGTAACTCTCAAGATCAAAGCCATGGCAGAGGTAGAAAAAGTTTAAACAATAGATTCCGTAATTTTAATACAACAAAGCACTTTGTGTATACAATTATTAACGCTTTTGGTTTGGATTTTAGGGTGTGATTTGCGAGACGCCACATGAGTTCTACGAGAGTCTGAAGAATCCTTTCTCGGAGAGGTTTATGTGGACAGAGAGTTTGCCTAGAGGAAGGACTTGGAGCCGTCTAGACGACGTCGTGCTGAGAGAAAGGTACGAAAACGACCAAACTTATTCTCCTTACAGGAAGAAGAAGTCAATGTTCAATGGAGGAAGAGGAGAGAGTGTTGCAGCAGCAAAAGGCTTAAAGCTCATATTACTCCATAACTCTCACTATGGTCACATTCATTGATGATGATGCATTATCCAAGTAAGCTCTCGCTTACACATGGGTAACATGGAATATTTTTTCTTTATTTTAGAAATAATGACATTTTCGTATTATTATGACTTTTTCGATTGTGGAATTGCATTTATCTTCCAACTATAGAGATCGTCGTCATTCCCACAAAAAATATAGAATATTTGAGTAAATCCGTTTGTCTTAAATAGAGACCACAAACTTTGAAAAATAATCACTGAGTGTTACTGTTATCGTGGTTGTAATGACTCTAGTGACTCTTCAAAACATGAAAAAATACATATTTGAAGAGGCGTTATATAAGTAATTATAAGTTTTATATACAGATGTTATCATTTGCTGCACAATGCAACATCTTACGCATATTCCCACCCACGGTGTCCCCATAAATTCTCGACACGTTTAGTTTTGGTTTTAATGTGATGAGTAATAGAAAAGTCGATACTTGAACTTTAAAATGTTTTGAAGTTTGGTGAAAGTTCATTTTCTTTCCAGTTTTTAAAGAATTAAAGAGGCAATTATGGAACATTTTGATTATTTTTATAGTTAAACACAAGAAGAGATGTAGTTAAGTTCACCACAATATGAAATTTGATTATGAAATAATATCAGTGACAAAATGAAAAGAATATGGAAGTGGAAGAGGGTATTTCATGTTTTTGGAATTAAGGTTGTTAAATCAAATTATAAATGGTTACATCTACTTTGTCTTTAAAAGGAATTTGATGTAATAGAGAGTCATAGACACTACAGTTAGAGGTTCCCACCACTTTTATTGGGTGTAATCATTCTTGCCCACTTTGCCCAAACAATTACTCGTTTCTTTTATATTTTGATCATTCTTTTAACAAAATCCTATTTGGTTTTGAACTCTTCTCCTACTTCCTACCTCTTTTTTTTTTTGCAATTGAATTTGCATATTGATCGGAATGTCACCGTTAATATTTAATCTATTTTTGTGTGATTCTTTATGCAATTTCTCTGGATTTTTTTTTTGTAAATAAAAATGAATTAAAGAGGTAGTAAGTGATTGGAAAAAACGCGATTCCGTAAAAATTTCGTCAGTTAAAAATTTTTTTGGAAAAATACCAAAACTCGAGTTCTACAGAATGACAGAAATATTTGAAAAATATAAAGAAAATTTGATTAAATAGAAAAATGTATTTCAAATAGATTATTTACGAAATCAATATTTTTATATCATTCAATTATATAATTAATTATATTTTATTATTTAAATAAATATATTTTTACTGTATATATTTATATAATAATTATATTATATCTATAGATTAGATTTTGCAATATATTTATATATTTTATAGTAATCAAAAATAAAAATAAATAATTACATTAAAAGATTTAATTTTTTCTAGTTATATTAAAATTATATTTTTTATAATAATTAATATTTTAATTTTTATTATATTAAATTATATATAATAAATATTATTATAAAAATGAATTTTATATATTTTTTGTCATTCTACCATTATACCATTCCGCATAATTTTATTCAATCATATCATTTAAAATAATTATTTTATTATTTTGTATTCCGTCATTTAACAGCTTAATTTTTTCTGTCATTCTACGATTTTATTGACTTACTAATCGGAGATCTTGCAAATATCGAAAGATAACCCTCATTGGATTTGAAAATGGTGAAAGTTACAGTGACTGCAAATTCCTAGTTAGCTAGTCACCGTATAAGGGATTTAGCATGTGGAATCTTGTGTTCCCCCTATCAACGGTCCATTATTTTTAATAAACTAATCATTTTTTTAATTGCAATTTACAAACAAAACTCTTTAGATTTTCAATTTGGGCCTATTCCAATGAGTGCATGAAGGAAACGAACCTTCGTGGCAGGTGACTCCACGTGGCAAATGTTACTGAACTTTGAACTTGGAGGTTCCTCAGAAATTAATTAACTTTTGTTCTTTCTTTTTTTTTTGTCGTCAAGTAGCTTTATCCTCGTTTCCCGACAAAAAACCAACTTTATCCTCGTTTTTTTGTTAATTCAGAATACACGATATTCATTCTAAATACGACTAGTATCATATTTTTTTTTGGAGATGGTGTATTTGATTTGAATACATTTAATTTTTCACTTATTTAGATATAGTAATGAGTGATAAATCTACAATTAGAAAACAATCGTGTACTTATTTTTGTAACAAAAAAAAACAATCAGACAAAATTGTTATTAATATTACAAAAAGTGTATTTTTGTTCTAAGAAAGTGTATTTAATGGTAAATATGAAAATTATGCTTATCATTATTAAAAATATATTTAGTATATGTGAAATAATTGTAAAAATAATATATATATTTTTCAAACAGAGTGAATCACAAATAAAAATTATTTACAATAGGGTACTTTTAACGTTAAAGTGTTGATAATTAATAGTATAACAATCGAATAGTCTAAAAAATTGTGTGTTAATTAATGCTCATCTTTAAATTCGAGTTGCGAAGTCAAATATGCATACGAAGCAGCGCATGGAGAAAGAGAGACACAAGAGGAATAAAATATTTAATTACATAGGACTAATTGTGATGTGGGCCCTATCTCCCCCTCCTCTATATCTCTCATCATCCTCTTTTTCCCATTAATCAACGGCTCTAGTGTAGCGTTACTGTATTTGATGCGATAAAGCACCTGATAACCGTTGGATCCTGCCGATGCTGATCTTGAGATATTTCAACGGCTGATATCATTGGGTTGACTTTACTTGGGGGTGAAAAAATCAGAAAGTGGAAGAGCACCCAAAGGAGATTTTGCTTAATAAACATGAGCCCCGCTCAAGCTCTTCTTCTCTCTTTCTTCTACCTTCCCTTCTCTCTCTCTCTATCTCTTTCTCTATCTCTTTAAAGCGGCCATTGGAGGTCTCGAGTAACCATTTGAAGCTATTTCTGGTGAACTCTCTCTCTCTCTCCCTCTCTCTCTCTCTCTCTCTTATTTCCTTTCCTGTTGTCGACTTTTATTTTAGCGAATTTGACTTCTATAGGTTCAATTTCTCCGAAACCGATTTGATTTAGTAAAATTTTGTTTTGCTTGAGAGAAAGCGTTATATAATTTGTGATTTTCTTCTGTTTAATTTGTTTTCCGCAAGTGATGATTTGATTTTTTCCCGTTCGATGATAGTGGGGAATTTCTGGGTTTTTTCTTTGACCATGTATGGTTTTTTTTGTCGCCTTATGAATGAGTAAGTTTACTCATCGTTTGCAGATCTTAAGAGTCGTGTGAGAAGATTCTCTTTGAGGATTTTTTTTTTTTTTTTTGTTGCTACTCCGATCAGTTGAGAAGGATTTTGAATCTCAGTTAAGGTAAATGGGGCTTACTCGAATTTGATTCTGTGTATGGTGAAGACTCGAAGATGGTCCTAGTTCGTATTCTGATAAAGTTTTGTTATCTATTTCAAACTTTTTAATTGTATGTTCTTACTTTATTAATATGATCCTTATGGTTTTGTTACTTAATAGGATCTTCAAAAAAAAAAAAATGGAAACAGAAGACGATCTGTGCCAGAACAATTGGGGAAGCTCTTCTTCTTCGAAATTGCAGGAAGCCGGTTTCGTATCACAGCAGAAGTGGGAAGAAGACGCTTCGATCTTGGACTACGAGATGGGTATGGAGCCTGGCTTGCAAGTTTTCGAGGAGATGAATTCTTCAGGCCAAGATAACAACAACAACAACAACGGTCAAGCTAATGCTGATTTCCTGCAAGGCGTCAGGGCTCAAGCTTGGGATCCGAGAACGATGCTGTGCAATCTATCCTTTATGGAGCAGAAGATCCACGAGCTTCAGGATCTTGTTCATCTGATCGTCGGCCGGAACAACGGGCAGCTTCAAGGCCGTCAAGACGAGCTCGTGGCTCAGCAGCAGCAGCAGCTCATAACCACTGATCTTACTTCCATAATCATACAGCTGATTTCAACTGCAGGTAGTCTTCTTCCATCTGTTAAGCATAATATGTCAACAGCACCGGGTCCATTCACTGGACAGCCCGGTTCAGCCGTGTTCCCTTGTGCGAGGGAGGCTAATAACGTTGCTTCACAGAGCCAAAACAATAACAGCAACATGGTTGTTGTTGATGAGAGAGAGAAAGATAGCCACGTTGTGGAAGAACATGAGATGAAAGACGAAGACGACGCGGAGGAAGGAGAGAACCTTCCTCCTGGATCATACGAGATATTGCAGCTCGAGAAAGAGGAGATCCTCGCGCCGCATACACACTTCTGCACGATATGCGGGAAAGGTTTCAAGAGAGACGCGAACCTGAGGATGCACATGAGAGGCCACGGGGACGAGTACAAGACCCCGGCTGCTCTGGCTAAACCGAACAAAGAGTCTTTACCCGGGTCTGAGCCGATGCTGATCAAAAGGTACTCGTGCCCATTCCCGGGTTGCAAACGTAACAAGGAGCACAAAAAGTTCCAGCCTTTGAAGACGATTCTCTGCGTGAAGAACCACTACAAACGAACACACTGCGACAAGAGCTTCACTTGCAGCAGGTGCCACACCAAGAAATTCTCCGTCATTGCTGATCTGAAAACCCACGAGAAGCACTGCGGGAAAAACAAGTGGCTCTGCTCCTGTGGTACAACGTTCTCAAGGAAAGACAAGCTCTTTGGTCACATTGCTCTGTTCCAAGGACACACTCCTGCGATCCCTCTTGAAGACACGAAACCTTCTTCGGCTGGTGCATCGGCTCAGAGAGGGAGCTCGGAAAGCGGGAACAACAACGCGGGAATGGTAGGTTTCGATCTTGGCTCCGCGAATCAAGAAACCTTGCAGGGTGGATTCATGGAAGGGAAGATGAGTTTGGAGGAGTCTTTCTCGCCGCTGAGCTTCGATACTTGTAGTTTCGGAGGGTTCCATGAGTTCCCACGATCGATGTTTAATGATTCGGAGAGTTCATTTCAAATGCTTATTTCCAGTGCTTGTGGTTTCTCCCCTAGGATTGGTGGTTCTGGTTCTGTTTCAAATACTATTCTCTAAGGCATTTGCCACATATATGTTTAAGTTTGTATTATGTAAGATGTTCCTAGTGTTCTTTAGCCTTTAGGCAGCTCTTTTTGTGTCTGTGTTATTTTATCATCCGTTAGAATAAAAATATCAGGAAAGCAAAAAGTGGGTTTCCTGAAACCTGTTGCTAGTATAAGAAAGTTAGATTCTTTTGTTCTATTTTTTACGTTGATGGATCCAAGTTTGATTCTTTCTTTCTTACCATATTAGTGTTCATATTAATGGAACCAACTTTGTTCATGGTGACGACACAATTAGGAAAATGTATTTGACGTCTCTCTTGAAAATTTTGTGTGTAATACCAACAAAATGAATATATATATATATATAACCAAATCAAAGATGCAACTACAATGTTTCACAGATACTAAAACTTGCTATAAGATGCTTTTGAGGGGTCGACTTGGGTTGATTCATCAATGGTTAGGAGAAAGACTCGTTGGTGGGTGTGCTTCAGCTCTCAGTATCGTCCATGCAAGGTTGAGAAAAAGCTTGAAAGTACTTCTGAGTCATTGCTTGTATCTCTCTCCACAAGCCATTCCTCTTGAATCTGTACCCTCACATCTCTATGATAAAAAATAAAAGAATCAGCAAGAACAAGAGAGACGCATAATAATCATTATGAAGAAGGGTTTAAAAGTAAGAAAGATGGAACCTTTTCAAGGAAAGAACTTGATAATTTCTTCTCAAGTAATCTGCGTATTTTGTAAGTGCCTCTTGAGCATATGGTCTCCCCACAGTTCTTTCAGCTGCTGCGCTAAGTAAACTCTCCAAAGATCCATGTTTTCTCACAAGTTTCATCGCTGTTTTCCTTCCAAACGCAGGTACCATTTGCTGAATCCCCGGAACTCCATCAACTTCATCGCCCATTATGCATCCTATCACAAAACTCATACCCATGTTTTAGTGTACGCCAAGAACGAACAAAACAAAACGCATAAAAGACATTCTTTATGGAGATAAAGTCGGTTCAAGGCACTTACGAAAGCTCAAATCAGACTGTGGATCACAGTTGTATTGGTCATGGTAGTGTTTCAAAGTATAAAACGACCATCTTCTGAGATCTGCCAATGGAATAACAATCTGAACATTCTCTGAGATCAACTGCTTAAAGTCTTTGTCAGGCGATGCGATAACCGCGCGGTATCCTCTTTGCACGGCTTGTTCCATCAGCGTAGCCACCACATCGTCTGCTTCATGCCCTTGTATTCTTACAACCTTGTGACATCAAAACAATATCCAGTCAAGATCACATTCATCCACTTATATAAGTTCGATCTAGTCCTAACACTATAACCAAGAGAAAGGTCTTTAACTCAAGATATCCAAATTATCTTCAGAACTGTGACACATTGAGAGAGAATAACAGTTTTACCCACTGGCACATTGCATTTTGTAAGAACTTCATCGACGAACTGATGTGGCCTTTTGGTGTATCTCCCAGGATTTGGTGATCTCCTATGTGATTTATATGAAGGCAGCAACTCTCGGCGTCTCTTGTTACCTTCTTCTCCATCGATAACCTGCAAAGGAAACAACTTTAGAAGATTTTCTTGAATCAGAGAGAGAGAGAGAGAAAAGGAACAAGAGAAAGTATTTTACAGCTATGACAGGATCAGTGAGGCTGACTTGAGAGAAGAAGAGTGAGACCCAGTGACCAAAAGCGTGTGAGCTAGGCTTGTTTCCTTCGTAGCAAAGTGGACTAACGTCTAAGAAGAAGACCCTTTTGTTTCTTTTCCTGATTCCTTCGCTGATTCCACTGAGATCATCTTTCTGAGTAACTTGCACATTATCTGTTCGATAAAATGTCTCAGAGGTATAAGACGATGAAGAAACCCATTTTGGTCGAGAGCTTTGTGACTTGTCGGTGGATTTGTTTCTGAAGAACAAGAGAGATGAATTCGGATGAGCAAATCCTACTGTCGTCATCATCTTCAACCTCTCTCTGCGCCTCTTCTCTAATCTGTAAGGGCTCGTTTTTACATTCAATTAATTTAATTTTCCACAGACATTTTGATATTTTTTCTTTCTTTCCCATGTTAATGTTTTTTTCATGGATCTTTTCTAACTGGACTGGGCTTAATATTGGTCGTTTTAAATGGGCTATTTTTGGATTGAGCTTCACATACTTTTTTCAATCTGATTTTTTTCTCTCAACCCAATCAAATTCCATATAATCTTATACCAATTCAAATATAATTTTATACTAGAAAATGCATATTTTAATATCGAACTTTCAAATTTCAGTTATTATAAGCATCATTTTTCATTCGAGTCATTTAAATAATAAACTTTTTCGTTAGCCGATTTTTAAATTACATACTTATATTGACTCAGTTATATTAAGTACGATATTAATATCACTAAACTAAACCCTGCTTGGTTAATATTTATCAACGTCATGCTTAATATGACCAGTCAACATAATTTTTTATTTAAATAATAATCGATATAAAAATTTGTTATTTAAACCGTTCGTGGGAAACTTAGAGCTTATAATGGCTGAAATTTAAAAATTTGGCATTTTTTCTTTTTTTCTATTAATTGATAACTTCAGTTTCATCTGTTTACATAATTGCAAAACCAAATAAATTAAAAATAATTAAAAAAAATATTTAAATCACCACAACAACAAAAATGAAAAGATTGAGTTTAACCTTAAATATCAATTTAACCATATTTAATGATTCTTTAACAATACAAATCTTACGAAATCCTAAATTTACACACATAAGTTAAGATTGTGATAAATAAACGATTATTTGAATGTAATCCATATATTAGAAAAGACTAACCACTTATTGCGTGCGACTAGTGTCTCCAGCATTACAATAACTTCCATATTTACATAACTGAATCATAATAACAAATTCGCTATGTGTGGTGTGTACGTCTCATACTTCGTTTTCTTTCGATTTCTTTTCCAAAGATGCCAAACACAAAAACTTTATCTACCTCGTTGGCGTTATCATAACAAGAAATCATTTTAGTTTGTGTTCATAGATAGAAAATTTATAAAACAGTAATCATTTATCGCTCATGATTACAATTTTACTGAGAGATTTGAGTTTCAAGATGTGGGAGAGAACTGTAGTAACCTTACCATCTTGAGGTATTTGGGTTTTGTTTGGAAAATCATATTGTTAAGTGAATCATATTTTATCTCAAAAACCTCAATAAGTTAAGTTTAATATGCTATTTCATCAGTAATACATGAGTTTTATTGTTAATTATGGATCTCAAAAACCGTAAGTTTCTTAATCTTTTACATTTCAAAATCTAAAGTATGAGATGTTTTTTTCAATTAGAAATAGAAGCAACCCTTTAGTAAAAAAATGCCATTGAAATAACAACTTTTTAAATTTTGGCCAATGTAAGTACTAAGTTTCACGTGGACGATTTAAATAACAAATTTTTATATCGATTATTTTTTAAATCACGAACTTTTGTTAACTGTCTATATTAGGCATGGCGTTGACTTCACTAACAGATGTTGACCAAACGATATTTAGTCAATTTGTTAGTGACGTTAACGTAATGCCTAATATAACCGAGTCAACATAAATTCGTGATTTAAAAACCGGCCAACAATAAAGTCGGTTATTTAAATGAATCAAACAAAATGTGATACTTAAAATGGCTGAAATTAGAAAGTTTGACATTTAAATGCCCATTTTCCCAATTTTATACCCATTGAAATAGGTTAGCTTCAAAAACTAACCAATATGGCAATATGAAACCAACGAGTTAACATAAAAAAATACACAAGTTCTAGCTTTTTTTAGCAAAAGAGTTAGCATACAGTAAATATAATAAACAAAAAATTTTAAAACAAAGCTTAAATGATTAATTTTTTGTTTCTGATACAAAATTTGGCCAATCTTCATTTTCATTACTTAACTTAACAAACTGCTTACAATCAATTTAAAAGCAAAAAAAATAAAAACCATTCTAATAATAAAAAGAAGAAAAACCAGACGCCTAAAAGCAGAATGCGGACACTCTTCTGCCCATGTTGAAAAACAGAGAAAAAAGTGGGGGAAACAAAGCTGGCGCAGACGAAGGAGGCACATAGGTACATAAGCGGGACAATAGTTAATTTTAACTCAAACTAAATCTGTCATACCCTTTTCAACCTAAACAAATACAATGCATTTTGCAACCCGAACATCTGTAATATTCAAATTCACTACCTAAATTAATTATTAAGTGCCTTAACCATAATCTCGTTAGTTGACCGTTGACGTCGGCTGATTCGGATGGACGAAGATGCCAGCATGGCAACGAGGTTTGGTTGGCATGACTCAAAACAACGTCGTTTTGGTGTTTTGTTAAAAATATTATTGTTTCAAGTTTATAATTTTTGTTTGATTTATCTTCCAAATTCATTGTTATGACATTTTCTGAATGAATTTTATATTGTTATAAATATTGATTTTTTTCTTTTGATGAATATTAAGAATTCAATTCGAAAAATATTTTATTAATCTAATAAAATACTATTTGATAATTACTTTATTGTTAATTAGTAATTTTATAAATTATAATTTGATAAATTAATAAAATTTTAGAATTCCAACATTATCAATTTATATAAGTTTTATTATATAGTGTATTATTGTTATAATTTTATAATTTCTTTAATTTTAATTTAGCCAATCAAAATATTTTGTTTGTTTTAGAATATTGACCATGTCATATTTCCAGGTAATCATTAAAAAGCACGAACTTTTACTCGCTCCTGAAACATCAGTTTTTTTTATTAAACATGCTTGTCAATTAATAATTAAGATTTACTTCAGCCAACTAAGCTGCATGAAATCAGAAGCGGGTACGCGGAAGCGGAAGCGTTTGGAAGCGTTGAAGCGAGTTTTTTTTAAAAAAAGAAGAAGCGGGTACGTATTAGAAACGTATATATATATATATAAATAATAAATAATAAATACCAAATATAAAATCATAATAATAGAAAAAGTTTGAAACAATAAAATCCAATACATAATTTTAATATCGTAATTACCTTTGTTTTCGGTCACGATCAGAATGAAAATCAGAGGTTGATTCTTGAACTCTGCAATCTACACTTTTAATCTCGTGACTTTTGATTGTAAATTCATAATTAAATTTTTTGGTTTTTAGTTTTGAAACAAAGTGGCTAATGGGCCACTTAACAATTTACAAACCCAAAAAAACAGTTGTTAATTTTATTTTAACTTAACGTGGCCAACGTTTCCGATCAACACCGGCAACGCTTCAGATTCAGAATCGATCGCTTCCGCCACGCTTCCAAACGCCTCATCTTTGGAATCGCGCTTCCAAGATGATTCCGCACGATTCCGAGCGCTACCGCTTCCGCTTCCGCTTCCGCTTCCGCTTCCGCTTTCGCTTCCGCTTCCGCTTCCGCTTCCGCTTCCGAAGCGAGAAATGTCTCACCAACGGCGCTTCCATGCAACGTAGTCAGCCAATCACAACACTTTGTTTATTTTAGGAAATTGGCCATGTCATATTTTCTGGTCATCATTAAAAAGCACTAACTTTTACTCGTCTTCTGACACATCAGTTTTTTTAATTAAACATGCTTGTCCAATAATATTTAAGATATTTCTTTCAGTTATAAAAGTGATGCGAATAAAATTTCGACTAAACAACTATTTGTTCCACGTTGCTAAGAAGGATAAAGAGTACTAGTTTTCTCCTCTATAAAAAAAATTTATCAACATCAAGCTATTTTTTGTATGTTAAATCATATGTATGTATTTACATATATTTCTCAGAATAATACATATAAAATGATTAGTTATATTAAATTTATAATATTATAAAAATTAACACAAAATTTAAAATCAACATGAATTTTAATATCCTTAATTTGAATTTACATAATAATACAACCAGCTAAAATATATGATATAAATATATAATATCATTTATTATAACTAATAGTAAATATTAATATCATTTATTCTGAGTGATGTAAATATTAATATTATTTATTTTAACTTAGTCAAATAATAATATCATTTATTACAAATGACATATATTAACAACAATTAAATAAGTGATGAAAATAGCTGCATCAATCAAAATAGTTACATCATTTAATTAAATGATGCAACTGATTTTACATCAATAAAAAAAGATATTAACAAATAAAATAAATAATATAATACACATAATTTTTTGTAGTGTGATTTGGATTTAACATCTACTTACCTCAAGAGGCGATCCCTTAACGGGGTGACAGAGCAAGAGATGCTGCATGATATCGGCAGTGAAGAATTTTACCGAGTCAGGTGGAGAAGGAAAAGTCTGGTTTACTTTAAACCATTAAAATCGTAAATATTGCCTCTCTCTCTCCCTTTTCCCTTTCTCTCCCATGCAGCCCACCAATCCCTTTTACAAATTGATCACTTCTTCTATTTTTATAAATCACCATGCTCTTCTTCTTTTGGCTCCCCAAACCTCTATGACTAGGCCTGCCATCTAGGGAGTGGGTGGAAATCCCTTCGGCAGTGACTCTTACCATCTACTTAAGTACCCACAACGCCTTTTCTGCTGCCTATAGGGAAACAGATGTGTAGGCGCGTTGTTGATAAGAGACCCTCTAATGATGTGTTGCCTAATCATTGGACGTGGTAAAACTAGTTCCAACAAATCCTTAAATTCTTAGTAAAATGTACTGTTTTTTTTTTTGATGATATTCAAATTTCACATATTTGTATTGTATTGTTGGAACATAATATTTTAATAATTATATGCATAAAACTATATTTTTAAAATAGTATAGATATCTTTTTCGGTTTTTAAATATATTTTTAAGCAATTATCATATTTACTATGAAAACAAGTATTTGAGCCAAAATTATAGGAACGCTAAAAATATTTTAACTCTACCACTTTTTTTGCTCTCTTCCGAGTTCACCTCTTAGGAA